CCAACAGTTTCCTTTGGGTGTCCTATGAAGACACATTTCTCTGATTTGGGTTCGAGCTTATCAGGTTGAAGCTTTTTCACATAAGCATCGCAGCTTGGGTGTCCTATGAAGACACATTGCAGGAGCGGGCGACGAGGTGGCTCGGGCGGGCTCAGTCAAGAGGCACTCTGGTGATGGTGGACTGCAGGAGGCAGCGGCTTGGGTCAGAGGACCCCATGCTCACTGCGGTGTTCGTGGTTGGCGGCCAGAGAAAGCAGGAGTTGGAGGATGCTTGACGGCGCGAGAGGTCATTGACGGACGTGCCGACGACTCGGACGGCGAGAAAGCAGGAGGTGGAGGATGCTTGACGATGCGGGAGGTCATCGGCGGATGCGCCGGCGGCTCGGGCGGCTGTAGAAGGGCGTCAGGAGAGGTGCGAGAAAGGGGAACGGAGGGGAGACACGGACAAGGCGGTGACGGGAGGAAGGCGAGGCCAGTGGCGGTGATAGCCATGGGCGCCGGCGGCCGACACGGGTGATGGTGGAGGGCGTAGCGCAAGCGCATCGGGGCCTCTCCCCTGGCTGGCGGCGCACAGGTGTGTGGTGAGAAGAGAGAGAGAGGCTGTGAGGATAACGTGAGGAGGGGGTGGGCTTGGTCACGGGAGAAGGTGGGCCACAGAAATAGTTGGGCTAGCCCAGTTAATATCATGTAAATATATTATAGTCCCACCTTGCCCCTTTCAATTAAATTCCACTAATTGGTCACGGGAGAAGGTGGGTCTCTTTTTCTGTTTTATTCAATGGGAAAAACTTGAGGATTTTAAACCTACTAGGGGTATTCGGCAGGGAGATCCAATATCGCCCTACCTTTTCTTGTTGGCAGCGGAGGGCCTTTCAGGCCTCCTCAAATCCAGAGATCAGTCGTCGCAAATTGGTGGAATTCAGGTGGCTCCTTCAGCGCCTCCGGTTAACCACCTTTTATTCGCTGATGATAGCCTGTTGTTTTTCAAGGCAAATGGTGCAGGGGCGAGGGAGGTGTCAAACTTACTGAATTCTTACTATGAAGCGTCAGGTCAAAGGATCAATAGTAGTAAGTCCTTTGTCTTTTTCAGTAAAGGATGTCCAGAGTCTACCAGGCAGGAGGTCAAGGGTATACTCAATGTGCATACTGAAACTCTTAATGAAAAATATCTAGGCATGCCATCTGATATTGGAACTAGTAAAACAGGGGCTTTCAAATATCTTAAGGATAGGCTTTGGAGTAAGGTGAAGGGGTGGATTGAGAAAGCAATATCTGCAGCGGGTAAAGAAATTTTAATCAAATTAGTGGCGCAAGCAGTCCCAGTATTTTCCATGTCATGTTTTAAGCTCCCAAGGGGGCTGTGTGAACACTTAAACAAGCTTATACACCAATTCTTTTGGGGGAGCAAAGAGGGCAAGCGGAAGCCGCATTGGGTCTCTTGGCATACAATGACGCAACCAAAAAAGGATGGAGGACTGGGGTTCCGAGATCTTGAACTTTTTAATCTAGCATTATTAGCCTGACAGGCATGGCGTCTGCTGACTATGCCTGACTCCCTCTGTGCAAAGCTACTCAAGGCAATTTATTATCCAATGACAAGCATTTTGGATGCTGGAGTGGGCTCTCATCCTTCTCAGGTTTGGCGTTCTTTGATTGAAGGGAGAGATATGCTAGCGCAAGGTTTGATTCGTAGGATAGGTGACGGGAGTTCCACGCATATATGGTCTCAAAATTGGATTCCCAGGGACACTTCAATGAAACCAATTGCATGCTTGTCACTGAATCCTCCAACTCTGGTGGCGGACCTGATCGACAACACAACTGTGTCATGGCGAGCCAATCTCCTGCAGCAGTACTTTTTGCTAGTTGATGTTCAGGCGATCAAGAACATACCGTTGTGCACCACTCCTATGGCAGATGTTTGGGCATGGCAGTATGAAAAGAAAGGTCTTTTCTCGTTGAAATCAGCATATAAACTACTAGCAGAAACAAAGAGAAGAGGAGAGGACTTGCTTGAAGGGCGGGCATCTAACTCAAATCCGGCACAAGAGGAAAAGGGATGGTGTTCACTCTGGAATATCAAGGTCCCTTCAAAAATTTAAAACGTTCATGTGGAGACTCGCTAGGCAGTCTTTGCCGACAGATGATGTGAGGAAGCACAGGCATATGAATATCGTTGATAATTGCCAAATGTGTGGTAGCATGGATTCATGGAGGCACTCTTTACTGGAGTGTTCGATAGCTCGTTGTGTTTGGGCGTTGGCTGATGAGGAGACAGTGGAAGTGATGGCTGATATTAGGGAACCTACTGCCAAACTTTGGTTATTTCATGCTCGTGAAACTTTATCATATGCACAGTTCGTGGAGATGGCAGTCACCTTATGGGCAATTTAGACAGCTAGGCGCAAGGCGATTCATGAGGAAATCTATCAAAGTCCGTTGGCAACGCACAAGTTTGTGAAACACTTCATAACAGAGTTGGATACCATTAATGAGCTGTCTCGTAGGGTGATTCTGAGGCCATCAGTTCGGGTGCCAGCCCAGCCAGGTTCGGGTTGGATGCCACCTCCGAGTGGGCACATGAAAATCAGTGTAGATGTGGGACTCTCTAACACAGGAACATCAGCAGCTGCGGCAGTGTGTCGAGATAGTACGGGCTTGTACTTGGGCTCGTCGACTTTGGTGATTTCAGGAGTTACCGATTCTTCAGTTGTTGAAGCCATAGCTTGCCGAGAAGCACTTGCACTTGCAAAAGACCTTTCACTTCAGGATTTTGTGGTGGCAAGTGACTGTAAAACAGTAGTTGATGACATTCAAAGATGACAGGGCGGAGCTTATATGACAATCATCAAGGAGATTTGTAGGCGTAGATCCTCTTTCAATTCTTGTAACTTCTTTTTCGAAGGTAGATCATCAAATACTGATGCACACAACCTTGCCAAACACTCTTTATTACTTGATCAGGGTCGCCATCTGTGGCTTATTCAACCCCATGACCCTTCATGTATCCCGCTTAATGCCCAACTAGATGAATAAAGTGTTGGCAACTCTCAAAAAAATAAATTAAATTCCACTAATTTTTATAGGTCTATGTGTTGTACTACATCACCAAGCAGCCTTGGATCGACTAAAGAAGGATGAGATGAGGCTAATTATACGAGAAATAAAAGAAGGGAAGAGAAACAAGGTCATAGAAATAAGGAAATGTAATAAAATGGAGGACATAATTAAGGAAGGGAATAAACGCCTTATATATATGAAAATAAAAGAAGGAAGGGAATGGAGGGAAAGAGAAGAAATAAGGAAGGAAAGGGATGGAAAGAGAAAAATGGATGACATACATAAAGAAAGGGAATGAAAGCCTTCTGGAGTATATATGAAAGTAAAAGAAGGAACTTGACAGAAATAAAGAAAATAAATGAGGGGAAGAATTAACTACGTACGTTGCATGGGGAGGCAGGCATAAATGAGGGCACTGATTGGTGCAAAGAATGGTTACAATGACCAGCCGGGTTCACGTACGCAGACTTTTTGTGTTGAGTGTGGTTCCTGTATTGATGTTTTTTTTCTGCTTTGTTTAAGAAAGCCTATATACTCATGGCTATGCGTTTTTATTTTTTTCCACTTCCTTGACGTCCTCTTCAAATCATCATTGTTGCTAGCGGATCCATTGTCGGTTGTGTCGACCAGGCAAGTTTATTTTTATTACACTCAATTTTCAATGGAACAAACCCATGCAGATCGACGAGCTTCTTCATCTCCGCAATAAGATGTCCACGGCATAACAAACATATGTTGCCTCGCCACGATTGCTCTTTTGCTTCTGAGCTGTGGGAGGCACCCAACCAAATATATGTAGGTGATCAAGAAGAGTTCAGAAATGCCAACTCAGTTTTTTTTTCAGAAATTTAAGTATTTTTTGCCACTTGAAACATGGTTAGGGCACGTACAATGCGGGCGCTAGAAATAAAACCATGGCAGTTTTTGCATCGTCCAGGCTACTTCCTGGCATCGACACATAACCTAGAGTCGGACATTAAAAAAAGTATAAAACAATGTAGCTGCTAGGGCCGTATGATTGTGCATGTTAATTTGCTCAGGATTTTAAACACTCTTGTGTTGGAGCCGGCCTTAGAGTGATAATTTTAACACTAGCTATTAATGATATCCATGTGTGATAACTGATTCTGGATGAGTTTGTTAATGCTAGCCTACATAGATAGTGCGGTATGTGGTGGATTAGCGCATCATTTTGAGATTGATCACATTTCGGTTTATTGTGATCACGTAGACATAACTATCATGGACAAGGGCGTGAAAGAGGATAAGCTGCGAAACGACAAAGACATGTGATATTGATTTTCACCCGTTGCAACGCACTGCCTTTTTGCTAGTGAAAAAAAAGGAAGCCCTCGCGTGATGCAACCGGCTGGTTCACAGCGTGACCACCACCGGACTTCGGAGCACGTTCGAGACGCTATCGACTCCGGAGCCTTTGTAAGTAGATGGACACCTCCACAATGGCCGGAGAAAACGAAACGAAAGATGCACTCCAGCACGGCTTCAAAAAAAAAGATGCACTGCGAACCAACCTGTGGTTGAGATGGTTAGGTGGACAGTGGTATCCCCAACCCATCAGGGTTTAAACCCTGGTGCTCGCATTATTCCTGAATTTATTTCAGGATTTCCGGCGATGTGCTTTCAGTGGGAGGAGACGTTCCCGTCGACGACGAGGCGCCTACTGTGACTTCGTAAATCTCAAGATGATATGCCGGCTCAGTCTCTCGGAGGTGCTCATAGGGATAGGATGTGCGTGTATGCGTTCATAGGGATGAGTGTATGCGCGTGTATATGAGCGTTTGTGTCTGTACTGATGCTAAAAAAAAAAGAGATGCACTCCAGCAGATATACGCTAAACTCCCGTCAATAAACCCTATCCGACACCACATGCACGCGCGTAAACTGCCAGAATTTGTCCCGTCCCGTCTCGTCTCTCTGCCATGGAGCCGGATCTGGAAGCAGGGGCGTCACCCCATGCCCCCACCGTTTCGGCGAAGTTCGTCGTCCTCCGCCTCATCGGCCTCCTCTGCCTCGTCATGCTGACATGCGTGTTACTGGCCGCGTTCATGGCCTTGTTGGAGGCTATCCCCAAAAGCGACAGATATCAGATCCTCCGTGTCCCCACTTTCTCGGTCGATCTCGCCGGCTTCGACGGGCTCGACGGCCGGACGCTGGCGCCCAGCATCTCACCAGCGTTCAACCTCACGCTCCACGGCGTCAGCAACCACAGCTCGGGGCCGTCGTCGTGGGTCTGCCAGGAGCGCGGGACGGTGGCGGTCTCGTACGCGGGGGCGGTGCTCGCCTGGGGCCGCGTGCCCGGGTTCTGCTTTGGCGAGCACGCCCACGAGCGCGCGGGGATGGTGGCGCTCGGCGCCGGGGTTGGGCTGTCCGACGAGCTGCGCGACCGCATGGCGTCGGAGAGGCGGTCGCGGTCCGCGGTGGTGGACGTGGACATCGTGCTGGGCTGGATCGCGGAGGAGTCCCACTACCTGAAGAGGTTGCTGTCGTGCCGGGTGAAGCTGGATGAGCCGTCGCCGCGGCCATATCCCTGCAAAGTCCTTGTATCGTATCCCTGGTGAATCACAACATGGACTAATTTTCCATGGAAAATCCGTTGTTTTCATATGATGAGTTCATTCGTTCTCTTGTATTTCCTCCGTTCCAAATTACTCGTCGCAAAAATGGATGTATCTAAAACTAAAATACATCTACATACATTCATACATGCGACAAATAATTCAGAACGAAAGGAGTACATCTACATACATTCAATTTATAGTCTCATTTTTTTAGATTGTTTATAGTCTCACGTTTAGTAGTTGTTTCTAGTTTCTATGTGTCTTTTAAATACTATACTGATGTATACCGGTAAACTTTATACAACTTTCAAGACATGCTGGTGGGCGCTGTTTTTCTGAAAACAACGTGCATCACAGATGTCAAAATATACTCACCCCTATCAAGGTATGCACACATACTGTACCTCTATAAGCATTTGATAAAAACATCTTCTTTTATTGAACGAACATCGCCGAAATATCTGAAATGAATTCAGTCTAACCACAAGGAACCTAACTATCTGAGTTACAGTCAATTCGCTGGCATGCTTGTCTTAATAACAATTCTTGTATATATATCTAAATAGTTGATTCCATAAGTGTTTTTTTAAATGATGCAAACTATTTTCATTTTCCATTAAGAAAGAAGTGTCGACTAGTTAATTAGTATAAAAGTCGGTGAAAATCATCGTAACCCGCTGATTAGGCACATACAAGGACATCACAATACCACACGCATCACCATGAAGAAAACATCACCAACCAAGCCCACACCACAAAGGCCTCGAGAAGCCACACAAAATTCCAATCGATTAACCACACACACCGCTAGCAAGACAACCCAGATTGAGAATGAACAACGAAGGACTATGCAAGGTTCGTGCTGCGAAGGATCCTCCAGCTGGTCCACCTGTCACTTATCATCATTGCCGCATGGACTTCACTGTCGCGCAACTCCGCCGCCTCTGCAACCAACAAAACTATGATGACCTTGTTGACTACCACAACCTTGCCACAAACCCGCCTTGCTCGTTGAGGGAGTCCTGAATTAGGGGGTGTTCGGATAGCCGAACTATACCTTCAGCCGGACTCCTGGACTATGAAGATACAAGATCGAAGACTCCGTCCCGTGTCCGAAAGGGACTTTCCTTAGCGTGGAAGGCAAGCTTGGCGATACGGATATTCAGATCTCCTACCATTGTAACCGACTCTATGTAACCATAACCCTCTCCGGTGTCTATATAAACCGGAGGGTTTTAGTCCGTAGAACAACATACACATCAACAATCATACCATAGGCTAGCTTCTAGGGTTTAGCCTCTCCGATCTCGTGGTAGATCTACTCTTGTACTACCCATATCATCAATATTAATCAAGCAGGACGTAGCGTTTACCTCCATCGAGAGGGCCTGAACCTGGGTAAAACTTCATATCCCTTGCCTCTTGTTACCATCCGGCCTAGACGCACAGTTCGGGACCCCCTACCCGAAATCCGCCGGTTTTGACACCGACATTGCTGCTTTCATTGAGAGTTCCTCTGTGTCGTCGCCATCAGGAAGGATGCCTCACCCCATCTTTAAAGACGGCACCGTTGCTAAGGGAGCTTTGGCTGTCGGCCAAACCCTTCGGCTAGGTGGTTTTCTTATGACCACCTGTTCGGCTTCTGCGCCGACGATGACCTCTCAAGCCATCGAAAACAATCTTCATGTCAACTCGGAACTTGCCGAGCAGTTAGATCCAATAGAGCTTTCCTCCATAAACGAGCTCTTGGATCGCTTCGCCGCCCTGGGAGTCGCTACGGATTACGACCAGATTGGGCCTAAAACCGATCTGAGAGAGATTAACTCTCCCCAAGCCACCCATCACGTTGCCGTGGTAGAGGGACAGTGCGGCGACCCTTCATCTATCTTAAGGACTCACTACGTCCGGATTCCCGACCCCTTCAAGCCGGATGTCCACGGAGGGGAGGATATCACTCAAGACCTGAACCTAGAATCAGGCGACGGACTGGATTCATTGGACGACATCCAGGAATCCAAATTTTCGAGTTCGGAAATTCCTCGGCCTCTGAGCCTCAGAAGGGGTAAGGCTTCAGATTTAATTCCACCCACCCACCCGAACATTAGCGATCTACCCCAAATCAGGCAAGAGCCCAAAGAAACAGTACATCATTACTGGGCCAGATTCCTCCTGGTTATGAACAGGATAAAGGGCTGCCGCGAGGAAGACGCAATTTCATTCTTCTACAATAATTGCACGGACAAGGGGATACTCAACGCCATAAGTCGCCGTGATATTACACGCTTCGCTGACTTAGCGTCCATAGTACGAAAGTACTGTGCGATGGAAAGCGCCCGGAAAACCGAAACAAAATTTTGGGACAATCCGGCCCTTAAGGCAAGCCCAGTCCGAAATAAAAGGGTGCATCATCGCCAGACACCCAGGTCAAACACCAAAAGGCAAAAACCCTCTACAGGGCATGGAACCGTACTGGAAGGATGGCTTAATGGACCCTGTAAAATTCATAGTACAGAGGACACCACACCAACTCACAGCCTTAGAGCATGTTGGATACTCCGGCAGGTGGCCAAAATTGGCGAAAACCTCCTAATTCCGGAGGCCACAGAAAGCCACCCCAGAGACACCAATACGGTATTAACAGTCTTCGAGACCTTCGCATCAAATAATATGCGAAAAATGACACTCCGCAGCCTTGCCGAAGTTTACCAAGTAGCAACAATAAACCCATGGAGTGACACGGCCATCACCTTTAACGCGAGTGATGAACCTAAATTCCGAACAGCCCAAGCACCAGCTGCATTGGTCCTCAGTCCAATAGTGGACGGCTTTCGTCTTACCAAGGTACTCATGGACGGCGGCAGCGGATTGAACCTCATTTATGAGGAAACTCTTCAAAAAATGGATATAGACTGGAACCGCATCATGCGAAGCAGCACAACCTTTAGAGGAATAATCCCCAGTCGGGAAGCGCGCTGTACAGGAAAAATCACACTAGATGTGGTGTTCGGCACGCCGTGCAATTACAGGTCCGAAGAGGTCACGTTCCAGTGGCCCCATTCAGCAGCGGTTATCACGCTTTGCTAGGGCGGGAAGCATTCACAATCTTCCAAGCAATACCCCATTACGGGTACATGAAGCTCAAGATGCCCAGGCCTAACGGGATCATCACTCTCGCTAGTGATCCGGACATAGCACTCCGCGCCGAAAACAAGACAACCGCACTGGCCCTCAAGGCACTATCCGAAGCCCTAGCGGCTGAGGAGCTGACTGTGCTGCGCTCTACGGTGAATAGGGACGATGTGGTACTCGATAAAAGATCCAAATCCACCTCCTTTAAACCAGCGAACGAAATAGTCAAATTCCAAGTCCATCCAACGGACCCCAATAAAACAGTTTCCATCGGGGCACAGTTAAACCCTGATGTCGACGCCGCATTGCGAGAGTTCCTACGAGAGAACTGGGACATTTTTTCCTGGCACCCTTCAGACATGCCAGGAATCCCACGCAGGCTGGCCGAGCACAGCTTAAATATCCAAACATGATTCAAACCTGTCAAATAGGCTCTCGGGCGTTTTTCCGAACCTAAAAGACAGGCTATGGGAGAGGAGCTAGCAAAACTATTAGAGGCCGGATTCATCAGAGATATAAAACATCTGGACTGGCTAGCAAACCTGGTGATGGTACCAAAGAAGGACAAATCCTGGCGTTTGTGTGTTGATTTTAAAGACCTTAACAAGGCTTGCCCAAAGGATCCCTTCCCCCTCCCCCGCATCGATCAAATCATCGATGCGACCGCAGGACACGATTCATTGTGTTTCCTCAACGCATATTCTGGCTACCATCAAATCAAGATGGCAGAACCAGACCAAGCCGCAACGGCATTTATCACACCATACGGGCCATTCTGCTTCAACACGATGCCCTTCGGGCTCAAAAACGCCGGCGCAACATATCATCGCATGATTCAGACATGTTTGGCAAGCCAGATCGGTAAAACAGTGGAGGCATACGTAGATGATGTGGTCGTCAAAACAAGACATGTTGAATCTCTAGTAGACGACTTGAGGCTCACATTTGATAATCTCCAAACATACGACATCAAGCTCAACCCGGAAAAATGTGTTTTCGGCGTTCCAGCCGGAAAGCTCTTGGGCTTCATTGTATCCAGCAGAGGAATTGAAGCAAATCCAGCCAAGATCCGAGCTCTATCGCAACTGGATATCCCAAAGGACCTCAAACAAATACAAAAGTTAACCGGATGTGTGGCGGCTCTAAGCCGCTTTATCTCCCGCTTGGGAGAAAAGGCCCTTCCCCTTTACCGCCTCCTTCGGCGCACCGAACACTTCAAATGGACGGACGCAGCCACGGCCGGACTCGACGAAATAAAAGCCATACTGGCAACAAACCCAGTCCTGGCCGCACCAAACACCGGCGAACCAATGCTATTGTACATCGCAGCAACACATCAGGTTGTAAGCACAGTGCTCGTCGTCGAACGAGAAGCGGACGGACACAAATTCCCCCTTCAAAGGTCGGTCTATTATGTGTCCACTGTCCTCACTCCCTGCAAATCACGGTACCCGCATTATCAAAAGATTGCGTACGCGGTATGTTGGAAATATGCCCTAGAGGCAATAATAAAAGCATTATTATTATATTTCCTTGTTCATGATAATTGTCTTTATTCATGCTATAATTGTGTTATCCGGAAATCGTAATACATGTGTGAATAATAGACACCAACATGTCCCTAGTAAGCCTCTAGTTGACTAGCTCGTTGATCAACAGATAGTCATGGTTTCCTGACTATGGACATTGGATGTCATTGATAACGAGATCACATCATTAGGAGAATGATGTGATGGACAAGACCCAATCCTAAACATAGCATAAGATCGTATAGTTCGTTTGCTAGAGTTTTTCCAATGTCAAGTATCCTTTCCTTAGACCATGAGATCGTGTAACTCCCGGATACCATAGGAGTGCTTTGGGTGTACCAAACGTCACAACGTAACTGGGTGACTATAAAGGTATACTACGGGTATCTCCGAAAGTGTCTGTTGGGTTGACACGGATCAAGACTGGGATTTGTCACTCCGTGTGACGGAGAGGTATCACTGGGCCCACTCGGTAATGCATCATCATTATGAGCTCAAAGTGACCAAGTCTCTGGTCACGGGATCATGCATTACGGTACGAGTAAAGTGACTTGCCGGTAACGAGATTGAACAAGGTATTGGGATACCGACGATCGAATCTCGGGCAAGTAGCATACCGATTGACAAAGGGAATTGTATACGGGGTTGCTTGAATCCTCGACATCATGGTTCATTCGATGAGATCATCGAGGAGCATGTGGGAGCCAACATGGGTATCCAGATCCCGCTGTTGGTTATTGACCGGAGAGCGATCTCGGTCATGTCTACATGTCTCCCGAACCCGTAGGTTCGGTGACGCTAGGGTTGTAGGGATATGTATATGCAGTAACCCGAATGTTGTTCGGAGTCCCGGATGAGATCCCGAACGTCACGAGGAGTTCCGGAATGGTCCGGAGGTAAAGAATTATATATAGGAACTGCTATTTCGGCCGTCGGGACAAGTTTTGGGGTCACCGGTATTGTACCGGGACCACCGGAAGGGTCCCGGGGGTCCACCGGGTGGGGCCACCTATCCCGAAGGGCCCCATGGGCTGAAGTGGGAAGGGATCCAGCCCAAAGTGGGCTGGGGCACCACTTCCCCTAGGTCCCATGCGCCTAGGGTGGGGGAAACCCTAAGACCTTGTTCGGTTGTAGCAGAATTAATCCTCTAGTGGATTTAATCCTCTAGAGGATTGGGTGATCCCCGCTTGACACCAAAACCACTTGGGGACCAAATCCCTGCCAGTATGCAATCCACGCCGCTCTCATGCATTCGGTTAGTCCCCAAGGGCACTGGACCACAGGGACAACAGTATTGACATAGATGAAGTGGTACATATAGATAACAACAATTCTCATGCAGTAATGACACAGATGCAGACTGAAGTGACAATAACACTGACAGTTTAAAACACTTATTATCCCAACAATAACAACAATTCTAAGATTTGAACAGGGCACAAATACTAACAAAAATAATAGCAATTTAGAGCATACATAATATATAATATGTTGAATAGACCACAAGAGCTTAATTATCAGTTCCTCCCAAATTCTTCCACGCTACAGTCAGTCGTTTCAGAAATAGTGTTTAGTTTCTCTACAAATATCACATGGACAAAACCCAACGAATAGATATGAAGCCTTCCACTGAAAAGCACACACAAATAGATCCAAGTCACGGCACCTTCGCTCTTCTTCTGGAGCATTCTTATGTAGAACTCCTGCTTTTTGAAACCATTCAAACCCAAAATTAGTTTGAGAGTGAAATACTTGGCAGTTTTATTTCCAGGAATGGAAACAATGAGAAAAACATACATAAACAGTAGGTAAATCAATCTCTATCCTCTGATCTATGTTAAAAGCATCCCTTTTTATTTTCTAGGGGCAAGGCATCATAGCAGTTTAGAAATAGACAATTACTACAACCACAAGAAAATCAGCCTAGCCTAGCTACAACACAAGCACTTGTCAACCTGTGTCGATACATCAAGCAATCATTTGAAAAAAGGTTGTATTATTCAAGCAAAGTATTCCTATAACCAGTCAGTCTAATAGTTTGCAAAAGAACTTCATAAATATATTTAAAACAACTATCCATTTCAGAAGAAAATAATGTCTTTACAGCAGCAGCAACAACAACAACATGGACTAAATGGCTAGCAAGGAGTTTAGTAACATGCACTAATTGAAAAGAGGAGTACCTGAGTTATTCCATTTCAGCTCTCAGCCACATAAGAGCAGTCTCCGGTCTGGCACTCATGAAAATCTCTCGGTTCTCGGGGATCTTGAAGACTCGAAAAGCCTTGACTTCTTCTTCAAGTGTGATCTCCATTGTTTTCAGCAGATCAATGCAGTTTTTGATAGAGTACTCATCCATGACCCTTGGCTTATTCCTCTCATCGTCCACCTGCTTCGTCCTTATTTCCAAGTACTTCTCCATCATTGCAGCCACATCACCATTCGCCCCCTCCTTCTCTTTGGTTCTTTCTCTTCTCCATTTCTTGAGGGTACAGTAGCCAAATTTGGTTGAGTTTGCTCGGGCTCCACAACAATGTTTTCTTGCACGTAAACCTCCTCAACATCTTCATCGATCTGCACCCTTTCTCCTCCAAGATTCTCACCATCAGCTAATGTTTCTCCTTGATTCTTGCCAGCTCCTCCAAGATTCTCGAGATCTGATTGGGTTGAGCAATGTGATGACTCGATAGAGGTGAAGTTATATGTCCCTTCTGCAGTTTGGCCTACAAGTTAAAGTGACAATCAAATATAAGATTTCAAACTAGAAGAGTAAACAAACATAAAACAATGACATGAGTATATGAATGAAGTTGATAACTAACCATCATGCAATTCTCCCAGAGCTTCAAAAAGAGGGAAGCCTTTTGTCTTGAACTTTCCAGCTTTAGGGTGTGACTACATAGTTGACAAGAAAATGATATTAGAGCATGCAACAAGTAATGAAACTTTTAGGGAATAACAATGACATTCTTACTATGATGATGTTTTTCCAAAGTGGTGGATCCGCTAGAATCCTGCACTGCCGGTCGTCCCATGAAACGCCGTTTTGCTTCCTTATCTCTTTGATCATCTTGTATTCTCTTTTCAACTCTTTTTCCTTTTCTTGGATTTTCTTCTTCTCGTACCTAGCATAAGGATTCTTTTGGTGGAATTTCTTCACTATCGTATTCCATGCTTCTGAGCTCCATCCATTTTGACCCTTATGTTCAGGTGTATCATGCTCACGAAGCAAGTCCACAAGATCTTTCTCAAGGCTTGCATTCCACTGTGCTCTATCTTCTGCATTTCCACATTGTATGTTAATGTACCTTTTTCTATCTTAACTATTTTGGTTTTAAGCAAATAATGTCCCGAGAAGAGAAATAAAGTCACGGCTAGTTTATTACCTTTGAGAGACCCTCTCCTCCTCTTTGTCACACTGCTTGTAGGAGGTGATGCTCTATCCCTTTCGACAGCTTTTTTGAGGAGGCTCAACCGTGGTGACCCTCGAGCAGTCATCATAGTGACTTCTGAACAATATTCATGACATGAACAACAGAAAAAAAAACATAAACTTCTACACTATACTTATTACTACTACACTACAAATGACAAGTTATGCATGTCGATAATCAGCCCACATTTGATGAGCAATGGCATCTCTAAGGTTGTCGCCTTCATGGTTGATTTGATGATTTTGAGGAATATCACCATCAGGAAGATCAACAAAATTCATGATAGGTATATTGTTTGGTTGGTTATCTAACCAACGCTCATCTCCTTTTTCAGATCGGATGATGTTATGTAAGATTGCCGCCGCTGCTGGTAGCTTGACTTGGTTCTCTATTCGATGATGCGTGCCCACTTTTAGGATTGGGAACCGCTTCTTCAAGATTCCTAATCCCCGTTCGACGTGATTTCGTAACACGGCATGCCGGAGATTGAATAGCTCCCTGTGATTTTGGGGTCGACGGCGACCGCATGCAAACTCCTTCAGATGGTACCGAACACCACGATACGGTGCCAAGAAGTAAGGTGTGTTGGCATAACCACCATCAACCAGATAAAACTTGCCCGGAGGTACATGAAACCCACTATTAAGTGCTGACCGGAGAACTTTAGCATCGGTAGCAGATCCCTCCCAGCCACAAGAAATGAAGGTGAAGTTCAGGTCAAAGTCGCACACGACCATAACATTATGGCTTAGGGTCCCTTTCCTATTTCTAAATGGTGCGGCTTTTTCTCCTGAAATTGTTTTGGGAACATGTGTCCCATCAATTGCCCCAATGCATTTCTGCAACGAAATACTATAACTTAGCACCTATAACATGAAGAGTAAGTTATCGATGTGGATCAAAGTTGGCGAAGCAAAAACCTGAAAATAAGGAAAGAATCTCGTGTCCGACTGAATCTTCGGATGCACTTGACTGGGATTTGGAGGCTTCAAAAAATGCTTGGAGAGAATAGGGATGATGTCAAAGAAATTCTTCATTTGCCAATGGAAAGTATCCCCGCTGTGACCAAACCGAACTTGAAGGTCTTCAAATGAAGAATTATGGGATAACATCCACATAAATGATGCTAGTTTCTCTTCGACTTTAATTCTGGTATCTTTCACCAACTTCTCCCTTCGAAGATAATTAGCCAAAGATTTGAAGATACGCGGCTCCATCCTAAATGCTACCCGACAGTTTTTGACGTGCCCTTCGAGTAACTCCTTAACAAACATCTTGCCTGTTAGCGATGATGTATGACGCGGAATCCTCCGCTCCCTAAGAACAACTCCATCGGTCTCTATCAAATGTAGTGCAGGGAAAACAAATAACATCATTTCGTCATCCTCCTCCTCCCCCTTCCTAACACGATCCCTCATTTCAGGATCCATTCCAAGTCTAAAGAAGAAAAATGTGGCTAGTTATTACTACTACACCAAAACAGTAAGAGTGCAAGTTGTACAAACAAACAGTTTACCAAAAAAAACTGCAGTAAGAGCTAAAATTCTTCAACAACTACAATGTCTAGTAATGTAAGATATTAACATAGCTCTCAGCTTACCAAAAAAACACTTTGTAACACAGATCTATCGACCAAGCAATAATAACCAACAATACATGAATAAGGAGAAGATTAAAACAAGAGGATTAATCTACCTTGTCCTTCACGATGCTGCCCAATTCAGGGTCTTGCTGTAGCTGTGAGGCGGCGAAGCTAGCTTATATCTGGCATCATCAAAATATCTGGCATTGGAACATCATCTAACAAAAAGGACAACACTAGAAAAAAGGACAACTGCAATGTGTACCAATGAAGAACAGATGATGATCACCCACCATGAAGAGAACAATTATATAATCTACCAATGATCATACCCGAAGTATCTTTTGTTCGGACATAAAAAATCTTTGGAAGTATGTGCTCTGCTGCTAATAGAGATTAGGTTCACATACTACATTTTGGGACGAACATCATACTGTACTATCAGCAGCCAGCAACAAAAACAACATGCATTGTTGTTCCTCCAGATTAGATAGTCCTTCTTTATACCAAGAGATAGACTAACAATTATACTACTACTACAATAATTATGTCGAGAAAAATAAAACAAATCCAAATTACTAACACCAAATCGTACTGCTGACTCCATTTACTAACACAAAATTGTACTGCTGACTCCAGTACAAATTACTAACAACGGGAAGACAGATCTTGACGACCACATTCGGGAAGACAAATCATGAAATAACAATTGATGCTAGTTCCTAGGAAACCCCAAGAAAAGTCTCGACCTTGACGACCACATTCGGGAAGACAGATCAATATTTGTCTAGGTTTTCATGGAGGGGGCAAATCAGTGCTGCTAGAGAGAAAGGCGGTGGAAGGGAGGGGGGAGGAGGGAGAGAGAGAACTAACCAGAGATCTCCTCGCCTGCAGCAACCACGTCTCCGGAGCTAGGGTTCCGGCCGCAGGCCCGCGGCAAGGGGGCGGCGGGGGAGATGGGACAATCAGAGGCTAGGGTTCTGGCGGGCTTCGTGGCAGGTCGTCGAAGCAGGAGGGCACCCTCCTCCTCCGGGTAGGTTGCGCCGCCACCGTCCACTCGTCCTCGCCGCCTCCTTGCCGCCGCTTCTGTCGCTCGGGAGAGATGAGACGAGCGCCTCGCTCGGGGATTCCTTCCACGGGGTGCTAGTGGATGATTTTCCCGCATGGGTTTGGAGAGGTTTGGGCCGGGGAAATACAACGCGGGGCTTAACCGAACGAGAAAAACTGGATGGGCCGGGTTTATTCCCCGGCGGGGGTAATCCCTGCGGACCCGCGTGGATTGGACCCAAAACCTCGCCGGGCTGGGCGTAACCGAACAAGGCCTAAAGGGGGGGTGCCCCCTTGCTTGGGGGGCAAGCCCCCCACCCCTTGGCCACCGCCCCCTAGGAGATTGCATCTCCTAGGGACGGCGCCCCCCCTAGGCCCCCCTATATATAGTGGGGGGGATGGAGGACCTCTTACCTTGGCCTTTGGTGCTTCCCTCTCCCTCTCCAACACATCCTCCTCCTCCATAGACCTTGGCGAAGCCCTGCCGGAGTACTGCTGCTCCATCACCACCACGTCGTCATGCTGCTGCTGGAGCCATCTTCCTCAACCTCTCCTTTCCCCTTGCTGGATTAAGAAGAAGGAGACGTCACGCTGACCGTACGTGTGTTGAACGCGGAGGTGCCGTCCATTCGGCTCTAGGATCTCCGGTGATTTGGATCACGTCGAGTACGACTCCCTCATCCCCGTTCTTTGAACGCTTCCGCTCGCGATCTACAAAGGTATGTAGATGCATCCGATCACTCATTGTTAGATGAACTCATAGATGGATCTTGGTGAAACCGTAGGAAATTTTTTATTTTCTGCAACGTTCCCCAACAGTGGTATCAGAGCTAGGTCTATGCGTAGTTCTCTTTGCACGAGTAGAACACAATTTGTTGTGGGCATAGATGTTGAACTTTCTTGCCGCTACTAGTCTTATCTTGCTTCAGCGGTATTGTGGGATGAAGCGGCCCGGACCAACCTTACACGTACGCTTACGTGAGACCGGTTCCACCAACTAACATGCACAAGTTGCATAAGATGGCTGGCGGGTGTCTGTCTTTCCCACTTTAGTTGGAGCGGATTTGATGAAAAGGGTCCTTATGAAGGGTAAATAGAAGTTGACAAATCACGTTGTGGCTTTCACGTAGGTAAGAAAATGTTCTTGCTAGAACCCTATTGCAGCCACGTAAAACTTGCAACAACAATTAGAGGACGTCTAACTTGTTTTTGCGGCAAGTGTTCTGTGATGTGATATGGCCAAAGTTGTGATGAATGATGAATGATATATATGTGATGTATGAGATGTTCATGCTATTGTAATAGGAATCACGACTTGCATGTCGATGAGTATGACAACCGGCAGGAGCCATAGGAGTTGTCTTTATTTTTTGTATGACCTGCGTGTCATTGAGAAACGCCATGTAAATTACTTTACTTTATTGCTAAACACGTTAGCTGTAGTAGTAGAAGTAATAGTTGGCGAGCAACTTCATGGAGACACGATGATGGAGATCATGATGATGGAGATCATGGTGTCATGCCGGTGACAAGATGATCATGGAGCCCCAAGATGGAGATCAAAGGAGCTATGTGATATTGGCCATATCATGTCACTATTATTATTTGATTGCATGTGATGTTTATCATGTTTTGTACATCTTGTTTGCTTAGAACGACTGTAGTAAATAAGATGATCCCTCATAATAATTTCAAGAAAGTGTTCCCCCTAACTGTGCATCGTTGCGACAGTTCGTTGTTTCGAAGCACCACGTGATGATCAGGTGTGATAGATTCCAACGTTCACATACAACGGGTGTAAGACAGATTTACACATGCAAACACTTAGGTTGACTTGACGAGCCTAGCATGTACAGACATGGCCTCAGAACACAGAAGACCGAAAGGTCGAGCATGAGTCGTATAGAAGATACGATCAACATGAAGATGTTCACCGACGTTGACTAGTTCGTCTCACGTGATGATCGGACACGGCCTAGTTAACTCGGATCATGTTATACTTAGATG